TGAGCACTTCAATTTCCCCAGTTTTGCCTGGATACACTCCTCGATGAGTTCTACAATAAGCAGCAGGAGCGATCGCAAAAGTGAGCACACAGCTCTTTCTCTGATAAAGCGTTTTCATGCTGCTACCGTCCAGTAAGGGCTAATATTCCGAACTAATTAGTTATAAATGCTCCACCATTTGTGTGCATTGCATAAGTGGAGGATTTTCTCATTTGTACTGCATGCACACCGTAGCTGAATAGCGTTAGAGACATAAATCAAACAACACCGTTCTTAGTTTTCCGACACGCCGAAAACGATGGTTGCTATGCCGATTTACGAAATTTCCAAATAAGTCAGAAAACTGAAAAAATTAGGGGGTGGCATATACAATTGACGCGCACTGTAGTGTCTGATATAAGCTGAGGAGTATGGGGACTCTTGGGTTGGTAAGGCTGGTGTCAGAGTCCGCGATCCGTCGCAGGTTTAGCTGATTTTTGCGATTTGTGCGATTCACGCAATCTCCGCGATTTGCGGGAAACTGCACCCTGCAGCATTGATCGGGCACTTGTAATTTCCGTGACCCGTCCCGCAAATCGCCAAAAACCGCGAAAATCAGCGAAACTTACGACGGACCGCAGACTCTGACACCACCCTGACCAGGCACTATGTGGCAAAAATTGAAGCACCTGAGATCTCAAGTCACAAGTGAGTGGGTTAATGATCTTGGTGCCGTCCTTTCCCAACTCACCTTTAATCAGTGAGAAGGCGCAGACGAGTGCCATCAGCTTTACAAGATGCAGTCACTTGCGAAAAGTAGTTTCACATACAGGGGGGAGGCAATAAAAAAAGAGACACCCACCACCCACACACCCACATTTTGCTCTCCCCTTTCACCATGGCTTTCGAGCCCCACACTCCTCGCTCACCTCTCGCCGCACCGACGCTCTCTCGCCGCGCCATTCATTCTCTCCAGCAGAATCATTCATGTGGCACCTCGGGGACGCCAACAGAAGAACCTTCTGCCCCTGGCAACACATGATGCACCTGGTCGACGCTCAACATGGCGGCGTCCTTCGAAAGGACCTCTCGCTCCCCATACCACCACCTTACTGGAAAAGCTAGTTCCGAGGGGATTTGTATAGTGGGAGCTAATGCCTCTAGAAAACTATCCAACATTAAATCGATTCACGAAATTGCGTAAGAGCTTCAGGCTGAAGCACTTACGGTAGACCTCCTTGAGCCTGACGACGGTGACAGATGACGTCATATTCTGAAGACGGTGAGGGCAGTGAAGGAGGGCCTGCGTTCACTTATAGAGGGACACTTAGGGAATACTCTGCTGAGGAACTCCCGTCAACGACAGCAATCTCTGCGAAGAAAAAAGAGCCGAAGTCCGACATAGGCAAAATGTCTTTTTTTTTTTGCCCCCCCCCTGTATGTAGAAGCAGAATTGAGGTTTCCTGTAGGGGTATAAATTCTATCTTAGATGGCTTGACGCACTGATCAAGGTTTTTTTGGTATCGCAAGTGGAATTACAACAAGAGCAGACGAATAAATGTTGTTTTTTTTCGTTAAGCTCTTTTGACGGTACTTTAGCCGTTTAAAGAGCTTAACGCAAAAAAAGACAACATCTATTCGTCTGCTCTTGTTGTTATTCCACTTGCGATACCAAAAAAAAGACCGTGATCAGTTTAAAACTCTGCAGTTCCTGAATTATTAGTTGAAACGTCAACCCATTCTGACTATAAAACATTATACAAAAGTGATGTCGTAGATTTGATTACTTGTCAGCCTAGATCCTGCGCTCATGTACATGGCTTCCCACTTTTTTTCTTGTATTTTTGGCACTATTTGCACGATTACAACTCCAGGACGGGTGAGACGGGTCGAATTCTTTTTTTTCGCTGAAAACATCATGTAGGGTTATCGAGGGTCCTGATCACGAATATGACTTCCATTTTTGGCGCTGGCGCCAAATTGGCGCCAGGTGGCGCCACGACTGATTCCACCAAATTCGCTGTAAACTTGCGTATAGGGGTTATTTGGGCCCTGATTACGAATATGACATTCGTTTTTGTTCGTTGGCGCTATTTGGCGCCTATTTCCTGCTCGTCTGCGCCCTCTCACTAATTGGATCGCAATCAGGACTAAGCCTTTGGAGAGTGGAGGGCTCCAAAGTGAGTAGGCCACTCACCCTGTGATCTCACACACTTCAGCTTTTGCCACATGGTCTCTGTTTTACCCACTACATCGCGGGTGTGGGTACTTAGGACAGAACGCGACTTTTTCGCTCTTCGCAACGCGACATCGCGCGGCAGGCTGGCGCACCCGCAGCGAAAACAACTACGGTATGGAAGAACGCGCGATTGGAGCACGATATTTGTGTCGGCTTTGATTGCGACAAGGAGTTTGAAGCTTAATAGCCATGGATTTGATAATGAACGAGGAAATGGTAACCAGAAGTGGACCGCTAACTAGCAGTGAAGAGGGAGGTAGGTTATTTTTGCAGAGATGGATGGTAGAGCTTCTGGAGAACCTGGAAGAAATGGTTGATGGACGTTTGATGAGAGTTAAGATGTTATACCCTTATGCAGAAGTCTATACAACAATATGAACCCACAAAATGCAAGCACAAGCGACACTATTAAACCTCGTTCACCGATAATTCGTAAAACACCATTTTAGTGGCATCGCCCGGAATCGTGTAAGTCACAAAACGTTTTCAATAATGAGACAGAATTAGTGATTCACCGCATTTATCAATACAATGGGGCGATGAGCGAAAAAGTCGCGTTCTGTCCTAAGTACACGCACCCCTACATCGCAATCACTCTCTTTCTCTGCTTAGTCCTAGGAGCTAAGTGAGAGAGGCCACAAAAAAGAGACCACATAATTAGGGCTCCAAATTACCCCTATATACAAGTTTACAGCGAATTTTCAAGTGAGATCAGCTGTGGCGCCTACGTGGCGCCGATTTGGCACCAGCGCCAGAAATGGTCTCATATTCGTGATCATAGGACCTCGGATAAGCCCCGTAGAAAAAGTTACAGCCAAAATTTTTTCTGACTCTATTCACCCTTACCGGTGTTGTAATGGTACAATAGTGTCCGTTAAACACTTCTGTTACTTTTTTGCCCACTTGCCACGCTGCAGGCATTTTCTATAGCTTCGGAATAATAATCATAGCCCTTCCGTCCATGAGTGCAGAGTATCTTAAACTGGATGTGCGCTACGTCGCACGACATCCTGGGGACAAATCTGGGGCCGTATCCTATCCCTCCCCTAGGGGGACGCGTCCCCCGCCGCTGATCCTATCCTATGGTTGGGGGAGACAGGGTTGCGTCATAGGACCAGCCATACTCTGCGTTTCTAGACTCCAGACAGCGCGACCCCTCAGAGAAAAGGGTGCCTCAACAGGGAAGTGTAGCTAAAACATAACGCGGGCCTTAGGGCGCAACCCTGTCCTGTCCCTGGGAAGGATAGGATACCTTTGAGGTGTTGTGAAATCTAAGGCTGGTGTCAGAGTCCGCGATCCGTCGCAGGTTTCGCTGATTTTCGCGATTTGCGCGATTCACGCGACGGGTCACGGAAATCACAAGTGCCCGATCAATACTGCAAGGTGTTCTCCAATCCTGCCGCCACTTCTGCTTGATAGTGATGGCTGAATGACGACTGCTCATGATTCCACTTGTTTCATATTCAGTGTTTCAAATGTTCACACACTTGCAATTTTTGCGATCCGTCGTGTGAATCGCGCAAATCGCGCGAATGTTGGTTGTTCGCAATGGTCATTTTTACGCGCCATTGGTCAGGAAAAGAACAGCACGGTTTTTGCTCTGTTCTCATCAGTATGGGATTTGGGGGACCTTCCGCGTCTTTGTTGGAAGCCTATCGTAATTGCAGTTGTGGAGGTGTGTGGAATCATTAGGCTCAGCAGGCCGGTAAGCCTGCTGAGCCTCATGCCTGTCGCGTGGTAAGAAGCCAGAGTCAGCAGACGAGGCCGCAGCGCGCTGTAGTGATTTCGCGTCAAGTTAAATAGAATGTACCATTGTACGTCCTACATCGCACACGCGCTGCGACTCGTCCGCCGACTCTGCCTTCTTGCCGCGCGACGGGCCTCCTGTCGGGTACCCTAATTACCTCGCATTGTCAAAGTGATGGGAGAAAGGGAGAAATGTGTCGGGCATCAATCCAATCAAAGCGCAATATATCGGTTTGACTTCAAAGATTTTCATTTTTTTTATTTCAACGTACTGTGCTCGATGGCTGGACCCGTGTGATTAGTAAATAGACAAACAAGGTGCTGGATAAACTTCTCACTATTTAACGAATTCATTTCCATGAAGAGTCCTCTAATGTTGTGCTCCATAGACGCAGCGGTAGCATTTTATCAGTGAAGCCAATGGTTGAGTACTATTGCGTCTACTTCGGAAAACTATCTGACGGTCATTTTTTGAGTGATTAAGGTGGAACGGTGTGAATTAAACTTCGTGCAACGGAAGGTCATACAAAGAAGATGTCTGTTGTGCGGGTATGCGCGAAACTACGAATGGAACACAGACTATCTTTCTCGGAATGAAAGGCACTGGAAGCAACAAGGCGATCTCTAAAAAGACTTGTAACATAATTTTTGTTTCCCTAGCTTCGTTTTGAATGAACTGTGTTTGTTCACTTTCTGTCCATTATTTGTAGGTGTCGTGTGTATTGGTAATAAAATTTTCGGGTCTATTGTGCCATGTGATTTTATTGTTCATATTGTGTCTCAGAACAATGATTATCTACAACTTGGCGCAAACAAAAAAGGTTGTGGATCGCTGAACGGAAAGCGGCTTTTTAGCTTATCAGAGCGTGAATCTCCATTCTTTGCAGGAGCTTCAGGACTACACATGCTCACGAGTGGCCCTGGGCCTTCCGCAGCGAAAATAGTTTCGCGCTGCGAAGAGCGAAAAGTTGTCTTCTGTCATAGTGACTCGCACCCAATGAAGGTGTTTTGACCTAATTCAAAATCTGTATTGTAGATGTCTTTCGACGCTGTTTCCGATCTGCTGCAAGATATTTCAGTCAGTCCCACTAGGAATGGTATTGCTCCTGTAAAGGCAGAATTCTTGATCACGGTAAAACTTTTTACTTTTATTCGTGTCCGTGATTTGAAAGAAGACCTAACTAATCATGTTCGCTAGAGGATGGCTTGAAAGCATTATGCGAAATTCGCTTATTAGAAGGAAAACCGCTCTGGTGATGTTAGTGATATGAAGTCGACCAATAGTGATATCGAACATGAGGAAGAAGCTTCACTGTCGAGTATGCCGATAACCAAAACAAAGGATGACAGAAGATCACGGAAAGGAATGAATAAACATAGAATGTAAGTTCTTGCACTAAATTATGTCATGTTTCACGAAGTGGTCATTTTGTGAAGTCTAGGAAGGAGATGAAACAGGCTGAGACTATAATCCGTGCTTCGAACGCACGGCTGTGCCCTTCGGTCATTCAACCCGTCAAATGCAAGTATGTTATGATTGCTTTTGTTCACGACGGTTGGTTCAAAAACAAATCCATTAACTCTTGTGAAACAGATTTGGAGATAAGTGCACTCTGATGCATGACATCTCATCATTTCTCGCAAGAAAACCTTCGGATATTGGAGAGAGTTGCCCTTTGTTCGAAGCAAGAGGTACATGCCCGTTCAGCTATGCTTGTAGATTTGGAGGTGCTCACATAGATTCCACCGGAAATCAAATCTCCAAGGTCTGTAACATTGGCGAAGGGGAGGTGCACTTCAAAGGTATCCTTTGTTGAACTTTTTTTTCTTCGAGCGATGTTTCTTTTATAGGAGCCTTCTGTACCCTATGAGGAAACAATGAATGGCTCATCAATACATATTCAAATAGCGTTACGAAAACGAACTTTCGACTTCACACGGTCGGACAAGGTAAGCTAATGTTTTCGCACCTACACAAGTTGCCGAAAGAACGTTTTCTACTAGACGTATTACGTGAAATATACATGTAACGATATTTGATTACGTATACATGTGAAAAGAACAAACTAAACTGCTGATAAAATGTTGTCGCGAAGTCTGGCACCTATCTCAGTGCGCATGTTCCTTTAGAAGGACCAAATTGGAGAAGCTGTTTCCCCGGGTTTCCAAGTTAAAGGAATCTTGCGCGGAAAATTCTTGCACTCTTTCCTAACATGAATATGTCAGTTGTGATCACTGGAAATAGCACACAAAGTTTCACGCATGAAGATTCGGTTTCTGAAGAGAAACAAACGTACAAAAACTACACGTTATGGACCATCGAAGGACCAGGAGGCAGAGCCAGGCGAGGCATGGAAAGAAGACGGCGTTTGGCCGGCTACGTACCAGGCGACGCAATGAGAGAATCGGGTTAAAGCGCGCGATTTCGGAGAGTGGAGACAAATCGATCGATGGAATAGGATGGAAGCAGAAGGCCAGAAAGAGCTTCTAGTGAATGCACTCCAAGAACCAAGTTTGAGCATCCCCGTCGCCAGCATTCGTGAAAGACGTCCGTGGGCAATTCGAACGCGTAGCAGCCTTTTCGAGTTTTCGAATTTCTAATCAAAACGAAAGCAATACTTCAGTTCTTTTCACTATTATCGTGGATAATGAGTCTCAAGCCAGTGATTTATGGCTGAAATAGAATCATGATTTTTCCGCGCAAGATTCCTTTAAGCAATTTTTTGTTGTTGATTTCTTTTTACAGGTCGTTAGTGCTATTAAAGAGGGTCTGGTTGGCTCAATGGAGAGGGAGAAGCCTATGCTTGATATGAAGAGTTTGAGTGGGAAAAAGTATCTGGCTCCACTCACTACTGTGGTTAGTTTTCAAACAGTTAGCTTTATTGCTTTCCTGTAGAGAGGGGTTTCGTGCAGTATCCAGACACGGTTTCTATTCGTTCCAGGGAAATTTGCCGTTTCGACGTCTTTGCATTGGTCTCGGCGCAGATATCACATGTGGTGAAATGGCAATGGCTACTAGCCTTCTTTCGGGTCGGTTTATTACTTCCCAATCCCTAGTGCTGTACAAACGCACTTGGATTACTTTTTCTTCTCTATTCTCAAATCTCTCAAGCATAAACACAGTAACAAAGCCTTGGTTGTCAACTCGTTCGGATTACCCAGTTTTTTCGTTTCAACTATTGATCAGTTCACATTCCAACGTTTCAATACAGACACTGGAATGTGGAAAGGCAACTCTTTCAGTCGACCGTTCAACCAATTTTCCACCCTTCCCCCATTCATATTATTTCGCTCTCCACTTTTCGGGTTTGGATCGCTGTTGAGTCCTATAGAGTGGTTGCCATTGTTGAAGTTGAACGGGTCGAAACAACACGAGAATAGTCGAAAAGGTGTGGTGGGTGTTAGCCAAGTGTCTTGTCCACAATTACGCACCTGTACTGAAGCGTTCCGATGTTGACGATGAACTATGTGAAGCCGTTAGGTGAATAATTCCGAGTTTCTCGTCTAAGAAGAAGAGTAGGGTGGAGTGAGTTTGGGAAACTTCCTTTGTCGTCATATAAGATATCGCCAATAGAGTTGAAAAATCAAAGTAGAATTCCGCTCAATGGCTGGGTGTACTTATCTCGTGATACTGTTCTTCTTTGTAGCCTTGAAAATTTTGAATGTGGTTCATACGATGAAACGAGGGCGGTCGCAATTTGGAGATGTCTGGTAGAAGAAAGTCGGAAGGCTGTGATATCACACTTCCTAGCGCGCTATTTAAGCTTCTTACATCACACTTTTTGTTAGCGTAAATGTTTCTTGGTTCATTGTACTGAGTTCGGACTTGTTTAGGTACGCCGTCAGAATACTCACTCGTTAAGCGGCATCCTAGCGAAAAAATTTTTGGAGTGCAATTGGCTGGTGGGTTCGCGGACTCTATGGCGAGGGCTGCTCAAATTCTAGTTGACGAAATGAAGGTATAAACACATTAACATCGTTCCTCCTCTATAGAATTCCCTGCTAGTTTTTCTTTTCACTTTTTTGATAGCACTGCAGTATAGTTCGGCCTTCTATCTATTTATATTCCGCAGATTGACTTTATTGATGTGAACATGGGTTGCCCTATTGATGTCGTCAATCAGAAAGGTGGCGGGTGTGCTCTACCTAACAGGCCAAACAGAATGATTGAAGGTATGTTTTTGGAAGTTTTTTGTATAGCCGCGAAAAAGAAGTGCGTGTTCACTGGGAGAAAGTTTCCAATGAAAAGTTCACTGCGCTGCACTGTGCTACACTTTTTTTTTACTTTGTTACCCTTTCGCAGGATAAACAGCGCTATCTCGATCTAGAATGTGGTAAAACCGCGATCAACATCACATACGCACCGATTGAGTCAGATCCGCCTTCAACATGTAATCTGTGGAATGCGCAATGTCCTAGAATTACTAACCTTCTTTGCAGATCCTGTTGATTTGCATGTTTCACATTATTGCTACTTATGAACGCACCCTCAAGCCACCAGGCTGAGATCGAGTGGAGCGATTTCCCTGTGAGTAGAAGAAGTTGCGCACGAGTACCAAAGTGCACTTTTTGTGACTAAAAACCTTGCGACAAGGGCGCTGGGGCCTTAGAAAGTGAGCAAATCTGGGCAGGTTAACAAGATTCCTTTCAGAATTCAAAAAAAAAACTCGAGCAGACGCGTCTTCCTCTCACAACCAATCATCCACTGTTACCTCACCAATTTGATTTACTGTTGTTGCCTTGAAAGAAAAGGTCGATAATTCTCATGGTGACCAATGGGGGAGTTACATAGCGTTGTGTATAGGCGTCCTACCCACTGATCCAAAAATTATAACTTCAGGAACAGTGGCGCCTTATCAAAGGTGTTATAAGGCGCCGAGCCCACTTTCAGGACTCAGCACCACATACGTTTCGGACTTGTAAGGGGTCGCAACTGCAGCGTGCTTGATATGATAATCCTCGTTATTGTCCGATTTACATTCTGAAGTGCACCTTGTGCCAAGCGGTCGTATCTCCTATCTTATCGTAATGTATTTTTCGAGGGGTTACGGCTCGTCCAAACATTCTCCATCTCAACTTATACCTGGAATCCTTCGCTTGATAGCTTGTTTTACTCAGCTCCACCTGAAAGCCGACGCGACCACTTCCTTCAGACAGTCATTCCACCATTGCCCATGTGTTGCTTGTTGCTCTGCTTGTGAGATTACCCACTGTCAGATATCTGTGGGCCAGTGTGCTCAGGTAATCCATCGATGATGTTGTTGCTGTTTATCAGGTGTACGCTGCTGCTCGGTCCTCAGAATGAGTTCTATGCCTGATCTGCACACCCTTAACTTCCTTTTTTGAGATTGCAACCACCTTGGTGACCGTTACGGAATTGTTCTTATGCGCGCTCGCCTTTTGTGTAAAAGGCCAACCTTGGGTATGACAGCACAACCAGTTGGGTACTGGTACGAGGACACGTGGAGAGCTCTGGAGCAAATTTTATTGTGTTTTTTCTAATTACCTCAAGCTTTTCAGTTCTTTCCGCAATGCGTTGTGTAATGGGTTCTGTGCCTCTAACGGTCAAACTTCGCAGTGGAGTCCGGGAAGGTAGCCTCAGTGCTGACGAAAGTATTAAGCTTATGGTTGCATCATCTTTCGCCAAACCTGACTTGATCGCTTTCCATCCTAGAAGCAAGTATGTTGAATGGAGTCGATTGTTAGGTTTGAGTAATGATTCGTATCAATTATTTGCTTTCGGGAGCAACGTTATACAAGGTTAGCGAATTGGGAGTTCGTCAGCCCTTGCCTTAATGCGTGTGCTGACGTGCCATTGTGGGTTTGTGGCGACGTGTTAAGTTGGCAAGAATATTATACGGTAAGGTTTTCTAATGTGTCTTGATAGTATTGTAGGGAAATGTCTGCTATGGTTGATCATTAACATTTAGCGTCTGGAAGACTATCCGATTTCGGGAATTATGTTAGGGCGTGGAGCCCTAATAAAGCCGTGGATTTTCACTGAAATAGATGAGAGGAGAACGTGGGATATTTCAGCGTCTGAACGGCTAGATCTCATGAAGCAGTAAGTTCCATATAGCGTTTTCATTTCGTCGACTATTATTTTTGTCATAACCAGTTTAGCTGCGCACGATACCGAGCGCGAAAGTTGGTTGCTGAGAGTAGACTACTTGTGGGATGATACTGACTCGAGGCACGCAAAATGCGGCTCGACCTGCTTATTCCTTCTTCTTTAATCCCGCTGATTATGGCTGGAAGGAGCATGCTATATTGCAGGGGAACCTTGCCAAAGTTTCATTCGTACTCTAATAAGCAAGTACTGATGCACGCATGATAAGCGATCACAACTTTATGCAAAAAAATTGTTATGTTATGGGAGTGTTGGGTTTTAAGAGTGTGGGTAGGTCGTGAATGAGGGTAAAGAAATGGGAGAAGTTGAGACAATAAGGAAATTCTCTCGTTTTAAGCATATTTAATACCCTCACCCCGATTTTTGATGAAAGAAGTTATCAAGCGTGAAAGTTCAAATTCGAGGATTTTCCCGTTTCATCAGAGGTATTTGCCCCCCCTCGCCGATGGTCTGGGGTTTTGGAGAGGAAATGGGGTGGAATTGAAGTGGGTCGAGTGGTCTCAGAATCAAATACTATGGAAACAGGTATGATCGAACGATAGGGAATGGGAGTCGTCAAATCTTTGTAACCCTGCTCTGCCTCATTTGCTCATACTCTACCCATTCCAAACTTGACCCGCCCTCCCTAGGTGATTTTTGAAGGAAGAATTATAAACATGTGGGGGACACTTGCGAATTTTTGGGGAGCGGTCAGACAAACAAACTCTGGTTTATATAATAGTATGATAGGGGGGTGATCTATGGTCTATTCAACCCCCATTACCTGGTTTTTTGGATGTTTTTGGACGAAAAACGCCTATTTTTTCACGAAAATTTTACTTAAGCGCACGCCCCGCCCACAGGAGGCGGAGTTTCTTATGGCCATCATTTAATAGAGCGGTGTGTGCCTTATTTAAGGCCTTATTTTTCCTGACCTTTGGACTGTTCCGAAGCCAAAAACTGCAATTTTTTCAACGAAATTTCGATTTTTGACGCACGCCCCGCCCACTTGGGGTGGAGTTTAGCATGGCCAATATATTCCCGTTGTAGAGCGGTAAGTACCCTATTAAGGCCTTATTTTTCCCTGTCTTTAGACTGTTCTGAAGCCAAAAACTGCAATTTTTCACCAAAATTTCGAATTTCGACGCACGCCCCGCCCACTGGAGGCGGAGTTTAGCATGGCCAATATATTCCCCTTAAGAGCGACTCATACTCTACCCATTCCAAACTTGACCCGCCCTCCCTAGGTGATTTTTGAAGGAAGAATTATAAACATGTGGGGGACACTTGCGAATTTTTGGGGAGCGGTCAGACAAACAAACTCTGGTTTATATATTAGTATGATCCTTACTGTAGGAATGATAAGAACTTTTTTCATTTCTCATAAGATACTTGCCTCAAATCCCTTGGTAAGCCTTGGTTTTTATTAGATGGGAAGAACCTGACGAGTTTTCAGTTTGGTTTTTGTTTCATTATAAGACTTTGCTTTAGGTTTGTTAATTATGGCTTAGATCATTGGGGAAGTGATGATGCAGGAGTGGAACGCACTAGACGTTTCCTCTTAGAATGGCTGTCATTCCAGTGCAGGTTAATCCAATAGTTCCTTATTTCATAGCCTTTTCTTTTATGTGGTGCTTTCATAATCCGGATCCGAGTTATTATGACCTCTTTCTCTTGAAGGTATATTCCTGTTGGGATACTCGAACGCATTCCTCAGCGAATGAATGATAGACCGCCTCTTTATTACGGCCGCAACGACCTGGAGACGTTGCTCAGTAGCCACCGTGCCTCTGATTGGATAGATATCAGTCGAATGTTACTTGGACCAACACCGGATGGATTCACTTTCATCCCTAAGCATAAGGCCAGCTCATATTGATTCTATTGTCAAAAGTTCTACCGTTTACCTTTCATTAACCTCTATCTATACTCAATGTTCGTGGATTTGCCATTGTTTTCTTTTTATGAATAGCCATTCCCTAGTTGCAGTTGCATTGTACCTCTTCTTGTGCGATTCAGCATTTTTTATGTTTATTAAAATGCATGTACATATTCGTACAGAATGAATAATGAAGATTCTCATGTTGAAATTTGAATAGAATTTGAGTTTCTGCACTGGTTTCCAAAGAACCCATCTATCTTGTTATTTCACTTTATTGTATCTTCTCTCTTCTCAAAACTTCATTGCGTTTTCACTTTAATTTTCTAGATTTCGGGTGTAAGTATTGGAGTTATGAAGCGGGAGCCGTCGTCGGCCATGGATTGGACATCCATGAATGGTGCCGACGCCAAACCTCCCGTACTTGATCGTGTAGCTCCCTACAGCATCCAAGCACGCATAAACGGAAATGAGGCGGTGGTGAGTCTGTATTCACACATTGCAGTTGTTTTAATCAGCGTTTTTCACATTCGCGCGAAGGTTGTGATCGCGATCATTGATAGGAAATCTTCACATCTTAGGGTTGGGCCACACTTTGCAGTTGAGTGCGGAGTGGGAACGAATCGATTTTGCGGTCGCATGATCTTAGTACGTGTGTACTCAGTTCTCAAACTGCAATGTATGATTCGGCAGTTGTTATTGCGAATCGGTCTTTTCGTATCGAAAATGGTCAGAGACAAGCTGAGTGAGGAGCATGAAGCTAGGTGCTCACCATCAATGCAATTATAATTCTGAGTAAAATTGATTGAGACGATGCTATAATCGTAATGATGTACATTTAGGGTGAACGCCCAAATCAAGCACAACAAGAAGGTGGCCTTGTAAATGGTGAGGTTGATGACGACCTTCAGGCCGCCCCAGGTATTGAAGTTCGTGGAGAAATTCGTGTATTAGCACAAACAGTGAGTAATAGTCTTTTTTTCTGTGTCATTTATTCAGTTTTTATCAACAAAAGAGCGAATCGAAAACAACAACAGTGCAGCATACTCCTACTCCGCTGACTCTCGTGGAACTACTAAAAAGTACAGAAGCAATGCAAAGAGATTTTTTATTTGTCACTTTTAGGTAGTCATTTCTGATATTTCATTCATCAATGAGTCTTTTCGTGTTCACACAGAAATCACTGCTCTCCCTCTTGCATCGGATTTGAGGAGTATTCATCTGCATCTTGGCTCGTGTTAGTTTTATTTTCTCAACATTTGGTGTCACCAAAACGTTCTTTTTTGATTCTAGGCGCTTTACTTCCTCGTGAATTGGGAGGTCATGGAAGCATAACTATCAATGGTGCAGACTGTGAATATTCGCGGTTGACGCAGCCAACGGTGTTGAAACGTTTCCAGTAATAGCATGTTTTCTTAAGGCAAGCTAATTTGCAACTGATTATAGCTTGCTGCGCAGAGTTCCAACTTCTCAATCATGGAAGCTCTTCCACGCTATTATAACACACTCAATGAAAGAGACGGTAGTTGCCATTCCTGTATCATGATTTTTCGATGTACTGAATATTTTATTCATTGCAGCTTTTCTGGAAATCTCAATACCTGACGCTCTCCGTCTCACTATCCAACTTTTGAAGTGTATTACAATTGCCGTCGATGTCGTTGTAGAAAAACCTACGCAGGTTTAATTTCAACTACCTCTTCGACTTGCTAAAATTTTGGTTGTTATCAAAGCCTCCAAATTCAGGGCATAAAGTTCGTCTATAATATTGCGCCTGATGGAACTATCGATAAAGGAGCCCACGTCTTCACTTATCGGAGCTCTCTGTTAACAAGTACGATTTTGCAACAGTAATACACCGAAATGCGCGAATACTTCTAATCTGGTTTCTTCATCTTTCCAGGCACTCGTGAATGGCTCCCATGTGTTGATGCGCCTGATCAACTTGCTCTTTGGCGCCTGCACATCACATGCGACAGTTGGCTTACTGCAGTAGCTAGTGGAGACCTAGTGGTAAGGTATCATTAACACTTCAGGTGTTTGAGTCTTGTAATTTTACGTAATTAAGTGTACTTGTAGGGCTTTGACAATCTTGCCGATAAACGATTGAGAACGTGGAATTATCAGCAGCTAATCCCTACCGCAGCATGCAGCATTGGTTTTGCCGTTGGACAATTTTCAACCTACACTCTTTCGGACATGGCTGAGGTAGCTTCTTAATATTGCAGGATGCACCGTGGTTTCGATTGTCGCATTGTTCAGAAGACACGAATGTCCCATTCATTTTATAAAGTAACCAGAATGCTCCGCACGTTGATACGCACTTCATGTGGGGTTCCGTAACATAAAAAGGACATTTGATTTCCTTCCGCCAATTCCCCGCCTTGACTTCCTGTCTCCTCCGGAAACTGCTCAACGCACGAATCTTCCCACGTTTTGATGCACGCCCAGTCCTGAGTCTTAACACTTCTCCTCCCTTCATAAAGAGTCTTAGAGCTATTTTGGACCCGAATTATAAATTTTCTGACAGCCCCAGCCCACTTTTATGAACACCTGCCCGATATTAGTTTGACCTATTTTTTCTTGACAGCTTCTTTCCGTATTCCCTCGGTATCCAGGCCGTCTCTGAGATGTCAGTCAGACTGTGCAATTGCATCGCGCGGTGCAAGCGCTCTGCCAAAAGTGCAAGCGGCAGCCAATGGCCCGCCGCGATCGATACCGATGTCTAGGAAGAGCGACTGCATCGCGCGATGCAATCGCAGAGCCTGTCCGACATCTTTCCGTTCTGAAAGTTTCATGACGACCCACCCACCCCGGGGCGCACCTGCCCACCATTAGTACTTGCCTTTGCCGTCCACTAATCCGTGTACAATTTTTTCTGGACTTTGGGTTGACACATCCACCTCCACTCACTTCGAGTGTGCTTTGTGTACCTCATATAATTTCTTCTGCTCCAATTTTTCTGCTTCGTTGCTCTCTTATAAACTCCAATTTTGTACTAGGCACCTCCCTTCAAGGAATGCTACGTTACCGTGGGTGGCTCCCTAGTTGACTTTACAGCACGGTGCACACAACCCATTTTCGTCGAGCCTGTATCTAACAAGGAAAGGATGGTAGGTCGAAGTGGCCGTTCAAAATGAAATGTATACCTCCTGATGCGTCTCCAGACGCTGATTCCAAATCTGCCTTCCAAATCTGCTA